ATCAGACAAATGTGCTCCATTCATCTAAATACATATCAAAAAGATTCAGAAGTCATTTGAGGATTCAGATGACACCGATAAAAATTATCCAAAATATGACTTGATGTATATCAAATAAATGACAAAAACACGAAGATTGTATGTCGTCACAAGGAGCTGTCTATTATCATTGAACATGCATGCAATACTTGCAAAAAAAGGGGTGACTCAGGTATTACGGTGTGAAGACCACAGGATCGAGCTTTCTTTCTCTCAAACTCACTCTAGAATTCTTTCTTCAACCTTCCGACATTAATCCTTCCTTCTCTCGTCCGCCATCCTCTTGGGTTTGAACCGTTTACACACTTCCGGAGTCGCCACGTCCTTCAGTCAGGTCTGAAAGTCGTCACGATCAGTGTCTAACCGAGGCAAATTTCTTTGCACTCGGCGGGGCTCGAACCTGCGGTCTTCGGATTGCTAAGCACAAGCTTAACCGCCTACACCACCCTGGCCACGCGGCTCAATCACCCATGGGGCGTATATATAATGGCGACGGGCGCCGTTGGACGCTGTGGTGTCGGTGATATCTCGAGAACGGATGGAGCTATCGAGAAGCATCCAAGAGCAAAAAAATGATCAGACAAATGTGCTCCATTCATCTAAATACATATCAAAAAGATTCAGAAGTCATTTGAGGATTCAGATGACACCGATAAAAAAATTATCCAAAAATATGACTTGATGTATATCAAATAAATGACAAAAACACGAAGATTGTATGTCGTCACAAGGAGCTGCCTATTATCATTGAACATACATGCAATACTTGCAAAAAGGGGTGACTCAGGTATTACGGTGTGAAGACCACAGGATCGAGCTTTCTTTCTCTCAAACTCACTCTAGAATTCTTTCTTCAACCTTCCGACATTAATCCTTCTTTCTCTCGTCCGCCATCCTCTTGGGTTTGAACCGTTTACACACTTCCGGAGTCGCCACGTCCTTCAGTCAGGTCTGAAAGTCGTCACGATCAGTGTCTAACCGAGGCAAATTTCTTTGCACTCGGCGGGGCTCGAACCTGCGGTCTTCGGATTGCTAAGCACAAGCTTAACCGCCTACACCACCCTGGCCACGCGGCTCAATCACTCATGGCGCGTATATATAATGGCGACGGGCGCCGTTGGACGCTGTGGTGTCGGTGATATCTCGAGAACGGACGGAGCTATCGAGAAGCATCCAAGAGCAAAAATGATCAGACAAATGTGCTCCATTCATCTAAATACATATCAAAAAGATTCAGAAGTCATTTGAGGATTCAGATGACACCGATAAAAATTATCCAAAATATGACTTGATGTTTATCAAATAAATGACAAAAACACGAAGATTGTATGTCGTCACAAGGAGCTGTCTATTATCACTGAACATGCATGCAATACTTGCAAAAAAAGGGGTGACTCAGGTATTACGGTGTGAAGACCACAGGATCGAGCTTTCTTTCTCTCAAACTCACTCTAGAATTCTTTCTTCAACCTTCCGACATTAATCCTTCTTTCTCTCGTCCGCCATCCTCTTGGCTTTGAACCGTTTACACACGTCCGGAGTCGCCACGTCCTTCAGTCAGGTCAGAAAGTCGTCACGATCAGTGTCTAACCGAGGCAAATTTCTTTGCACTCGGCGGGGCTCGAACCTGCGGTCTTCGGATTGCTAAGCACAAGCTTAACCGCCTACACCACCCTGGCCACGCGGCTCAATCACCCATGGGGCGTATATATAATGGCGACGGGCGCCGTTGGACGCTGTGGTGTCGGTGATATCTCGAGAACGGATGGAGCTATCGAGAAGCATCCAAGAGCAAAAAAATGATCAGACAAATGTGCTCCATTCATCTAAATACATATCAAAAAGATTCAGAAGTCATTTGAGGATTCAGATGACACCGATAAAAAAATTATCCAAAAATATGACTTGATGTATATCAAATAAAATGACAAAAAAACACGAAGATTGTATGTCGTCACAAGGAGCTGCCTATTATCATTGAACATACATGCAATACTTGCAAAAAAAGGGGTGACTCAGGTATTACGGTGTGAAGACCACAGGATCGAGCTTTCTTTCTCTCAAACTCACTCTAGAATTCTTTTCTTCAACCTTCCGACATTAATCCTTCTTTCTCTCGTCCGCCATCCTCTTGGGTTTGAACCGTTTACACACTTCCGGAGTCGCCACGTCCTTCAGTCAGGTCTGAAAGTCGTCACGATCAGTGCTCCAACCGAGGCAAATTTCTTTGCACTCGGCGGGGCTCAAACCTGCGGTCTTCGGATTGCTAAGCACAAGCTTAACCGCCTACACCACCCCTGGCCACGCGGCTCAATCACCCATGGGGCGTATATATAATGGCGACGGGCGCCGTTGGACGCTGCGTTGTCGGTGATATCTCGAGAACGGATGGAGCTATCGAGAAGCATCCAAGAGCAAAAATGATCAGACAAATGTGCTCCATTCATCTAAATACATATCAAAAAGATTCAGAAGTCATTTGAGGATTCAGATGACACCGATAAAAATTATCCAAAATATGACTTGATGTATATCAAATAAATGACAAAAACACGAAGATTGTATGTCGTCACAAGGAGCTGCCTATTATCATTGAACATACATGCAATACTTGCAAAAAAAGGGGTGACTCAGGTATTACGGTGTGAAGACCACAGGATCGAGCTTTCTTTCTCTCAAACTCACTCTAGAATTCTTTCTTCAACCTTCCGACATTAATCCTTCTTTCTCTCGTCCGCCATCCTCTTGGGTTTGAACCGTTTACACACTTCCGGAGTCGCCACGTCCTTCAGTCAGGTCTGAAAGTCGTCACGATCAGTGTCTAACCGAGGCAAATTTCTTTGCACTCGGCGGGGCTCAAACCTGCGGTCTTCGGATTGCTAAGCACAAGCTTAACCGCCTACACCACCCCTGGCCACGCGGCTCAATCACCCATGGGGCGTATATATAATGGCGACGGGCGCCGTTGGACGCTGCGTTGTCGGTGATATCTCGAGAACGGATGGAGCTATCGAGAAGCATCCAAGAGCAAAAATGATCAGAAAAATGTGCTCCATTCATCTAAATACATATCAAAAAGATTCAGAAGTCATTTGAGGATTCAGATGACACCGATAAAAATTATCCAAAAATATGACTTGATGTATATCAAATAAATGACAAAAAAACACGAAGATTGTATGTCGTCACAAGGAGCTGTCTATTATCATTGAACATGCATGCAATACTTGCAAAAAAAGGGGTGACTCAGGTATTACGGTGTGAAGACCACAGGATCGAGCTTTCTTTCTCTCAAACTCACTCTAGAATTCTTTTCTTCAACCTTCCGACATTAATCCTTCCTTCTCTCGTCCGCCATCCTCTTTGGGTTTGAACCGTTTACACACTTCCGGAGTCGCCACGTCCTTCAGTCAGGTCTGAAAGTCGTCACGATCAGTGTCTAACCGAGGCAAATTTCTTTGCACTCGGCGGGGCTCGAAACCTGCGGTCTTCGGATTGCTAAGCACAAGCTTAACCGCCTACACCACCCTGGCCACGCGGCTCAATCACCCATGGGGCGTATATATAATGGCGACGGGCGCCGTTGGACGCTGTGGTGTCGGTGATATCTCGAGAACGGATGGAGCTATCGAGAAGCATCCAAGAGCAAAAATGATCAGACAAAATGTGCTCCATTCATCTAAATACATATCAAAAAGATTCAGAAGTCATTTGAGGATTCAGATGACACCGATAAAAATTATCCAAAATATGACTTGATGTTTATCAAATAAATGACAAAAACACGAAGATT